TGAGGAAGAGAAGGAGAAGTGGGAGAAGGATGGGGAGGAACCTCCCCATATGATTTTTTTTTAAAATTTTTTTAATTTTTTTTGGTGTTGTGAAGATGTAAGAGACTAGAATAGGTTCACTCTTACATTTATATACTCAATTTTGCTAGGCAAATACAATTTGTAAATATTCTTTAAAATTTAACTGTAATAAAAATTATATACCTAATAGTTTTTTTTTTCTGTAAAATTAGATGTTTATTTATTTATTTATTTATTTATTTTTGAAATGAGTATATATGCATATAGGGGCATCTATCATAGGCTTGGTGCAGTGTGCCTTTAGCAGTTTTGCAAGGAACTGCAAACTAATGAAAATTTATACTAATATTTGAGATTTTCTGTTTCTCCAATGAAAATGAAAATGACACAATTTATAATAATATTATATTATAATATATCTTTATATAATTAATTTATAATTTAATATTCACCCATCATATTTATATATCTATTAACTTAATAACATATTATAATTATAAATTTATAATTATATATGACATTATAACTATATCATTGCTAAGTGAACGTATTTCGATTTCTAACTGAAACACGTAGCACCATCTACAGAATTTGCTATTTGTTGTAGAAATAAGGCAATACATTGAAAGGGTATTTTGAGCAATCAAGATCAAGACCATTGCCAAAAAGCAACAAATCGAATAATCAAGGAAACAAACCAAGGCAACGGCTGGCTCATAGAAGGAAATGAAATTGAAGGTTAAAGGCTAGCTTGCATAATCAATGGCATAGGGAATCAAGACAATATCTGCAAAGTCAAATACTAGCAGCGGCTAGCATTGTTAATGGGATTGTAAATCCTCTCCTTGTGTTCTATTGTACATACCTCTGTATATATCATGCAATAAACACCCCCCCTCAGACATTGAAAGTGTGTTGAGTCAAATTCATAAGTATTTCTTAAGCCTTTTTAAAGAATATCTTAAAGAATGACGCTTTCCAGCTGTATCGTGTCTTGTTGAGTCATGAAATGTACATGGACATGAAATTCTCTAGTTAAGAGAAGGCATACTTCTGATATAATTTATGCTTACAATGATGATGTAGCAGCATTAAACAAGTAAAGGCACACAATATACACGACTCCTGAATAAAAACAATCAATCAGATAACAATACATCATGATTGTAAGTTTACAATACTATAACCACATCAATTTCAATTTAATAGTGTCAACATTCCCACCTGAATTGAAGCTTAGTTAGGGAACTTAGGCATATCTCACGCATATAGGAAGGGCATGAGATCACACATATCCTTCATCTAACACTTCCCCCAATAATACTCCATCCAGTTGTCCTTATTAAAATACATAATCAAAAGATGAAAACTGTGATTTCTCACTAGTTTTTCACACATACATATCGTTGAACTAAATCCAGAAGGCAAAGACAAGGACTTTATTTACCAAGTAGCTTCACGGGAAAATTCTAAACCCATCCAAGCCACCCTCAACAAGCAGCTTATGGAAACTAATTGAAGGACTTGTCCAACAGAAATGCTATATTTACATTTCTACCCTAACTCTGTTACAACCTAGTTGATTACCAAGTAACTGCAGATATCATTTTGGTATCCTACGCAAAGGAACACCATCAATCAGGATACTGCACCTGGTAAACAATTTAGAACTGCTTAAATTAAGGTGCTTGGTCATTAAAAACATCCTATTTTCCAAAGAGAAACAAAACAACTGCAAAACAAAAGCACTCTTTAATTGCTAACCTTCCCCAGCCTCTAGAAAACAAGCTTTCCTTTGATTCAGTCAGTGTTGCTGAATCAAAAATGTAATTAGTGAGACTGGTCAATAAAGCCTGATTCTGGTTTGGATGGTGCTCCGGCAAACGGGGCAATCAAGGAGGTTTTCTCCACAATCATAGCAAGTCTGTCAATTGAAGGATGGACAGGGAAAAAAAAAAGAGAATATTAATAAAATGATTGTGAAATGATTTTTAATTTATGATAGAATTTGGGTTCAAAGGGTAACTAACCTGATGCCCACAACCAAAGGCCAGGTTCTTCGGATTAGTTAGACAAATGACGCAAAGCTGTTCAGTTTGAGAAGTTGAAAAACAATTAGTACTTTTTCAACTGCCCTAAATGCTGGCAACACAACAGTGGCACAAGAAATAAAAATACAATTGAAACAAACCATGCTGCTTCCTGTGGAACAAATTATATACCTGATTCTCATAATGAGAGATTGAAGATGGAGAAGCACTAGGTGCAGTATTATATCCAGAATAAGGAGGTTCAGTGTGCTGAAAACTGCTTGAGCGAGAATAAGGAGACAAATGCTGCTGAAAACTGCTTGATCGTGAAGCTTTGGGGCTGTTGAAAGAAGATGCACCATACTGGGGTGTAGGGAGACAAACCCTATCTGGGGCATTTCCTGTCCTGCTCCTGCTTTTAATCAAAGAAACCAGATGGGGGGTTAAAGCTTATCGAATAGAAATGGCTACAAAAGTCAAATTAAAACAACAGTCACTAAAAAATAAAAAATTTACCCCAATAAGCTGAGCTCAAGAGTTGCTTTATATTGAGAAGGTATTTCCATCAAGGCTGAAAGAGCAAAGTCTGTCTGCTTTCTAGATGAATCCACATTCTTTGCCATGATCTCTGTAAAGTTTACAAACTAGCAAGGTAAAAGTAAAGCAGTTATTAACACATTCTAAAGTGGAGACAAGAAAAGTTGCAGTTTTGAACTAAATGACACCACAGACTACTCACCTGAAAATTATCGAAGGCACGTGCAGGGATGTTGTCATCAAATTCCCTCATCATGTCCCAAGGTCCATCTCCAACCCCAACTAAAATAATTGACAGAGGGAATTCACTGCAAAGTAATGGCAGTTATAAGTATGTGCTTGTAAAATTGCAATTAACCTAAAGCAAGCAGAAAGTTAGTGACATATACCTTGCTCTTACAATTGCATCAATTGTCTTCTGCTCTTGTGGGCTGAGTTGACCATGATCTGTGTCAACACTTCTTGTTACCTAGTACAACAAACAATTATTTTTGAGAAAAAAGTATTTTGAATCTTAGCGGGATCATATTACCATCATTTCTTGTTCTCTTATTCCATGTACATACAAAACATTCATAGCAGTTCAGATGACTTTGCAAATTACCTGTCCATCTGCAATTATCAGCAAAACATGATACTGACCACCACTTTCCTCAACAATAGTCATGGCCATTTCAATTATGGGTGCAAAAGATGTTGGTCCTGTTACAAGAATTCATAGTCATCATAATTTAAGAACCATCTGCTTGGAATTAAAGGAGCTATATATATTATAAACCAATTCAGAGTAAGAGAAGTCACCTGCAAGTCGAAGCTGGGGGACAATTTCTCTATAACGCGAGAGCACTTCCTCAAATCCATTGCAAAATCTCTCTTCTGGAAAGAAACTGAAGACATCTTGATCATGTGTAGATGCTGGAAAAAAGACATAAGCATCATCTTCAGAATCCAGTATTTAATTCCAATAATGAAGAACAGCCAAGAAATGGATGCAATTAAGTTACCATCTCCAAATCCATAACATGGAATCAAATTGTCCTCATCAAAAGCAGATAAAGTCTGCCCAATAATTGATATCGCCTGTTCATAAGGATTTTGACCATTTCCAATGTAATGCAGGCTTCGGTGGTTGAATGACCTTGCACCTGATTCTCAACGAGAAGTGAGCATGCTGCATTTCAGGTCATTATGAAAGTAAGATGTATCAGAAAAGAGTTAAACCTGTCCACTCATTGCTCTTGGTGAAATCAATACCAACAATCAGATTGGAGGATTCAAGACCAGCTTCCGAAAGTGCAGCAGTAACCTGTCATAAAGTTCATTTATCTCATTATTTTGACAGTCTAATAAAATTCTGAACTTTATGAATCACAAATTATTTGCCAAAAAGGTAAGATCTATATTTTGGGGCACAGAAGAATTTCGTATGTTATCCTTCCACCATTTCACCAACTTAATTTCAGTTCATTCTATCCTTCTATTTGAAAAAGAAATAATAACCTAGATATTCTGAAAATATTTTTCATTAATTATACTACTTTTGACAGAAAAAAGTTAAGAAGAAAAGCAAGATTCTTTTGAAACAAAAATTCCATGCCAATCATTCTCAAAAAGCTACAGTCCTTACATGGCAAAACACATCCTTGTTCACATAAGTTCCACATCCTATCTTATTTCTCAAGGCTGTCATGTCAGGAGGCAAGGACATCATACTCATCCTTTTCGTTTTAGACAAAAACATAGCAGCAATTAAGAACTCATAAAAAAAATTAGTAACAGCAGCAGCTATGAGCTAACCTGGTCCAAAGTCTTGTAGTTATCAGCTATCCTCGAGTATTTCCTCTCCAATCTCTTCCGTTGCTGATGCGGCTGGTGCCGTTGACTGTAAGAAGCCGATGACTCATAATGATGCTGCGGAGCATAATAGGGCGGTTCTCGGTGATACGGTGATTGTGGCGGATACCCATATTGACTCCGCGAAGGCTCAGCACTCCTGCTTGACGAATAGTGCCTTCCACTAGACCCCTTCGAGCTTCTTCCTCCCATTACCAAAAAGAAGAAGAACAAATCTGCAAACCAAATTATCAGCAACCCAATTGAAATCAAGATGAAGTAAGTAATCAAAATCATCAAACATACCCAGATACCTGAAAATTTTAAATCTTTAATGCAGTTGGGAAATGGGTTTTAAAGAGATCAAAGAAACGAAATTTCTGGGAAATTTTTGCTGTGAAGAAGCGAAGTCTGAAAATTGCAGATGAAGACTGGGTGGGGATGGTGACAGAGGACCAGGTCACAGAAAACAAGAACCCTTGAAAATTTTAAGACTACGAAGATTTTAATTTTGCACTTCGAAAATTTTGGAATTTATTGAAAATTTCATAATAATCTAACTATTCCAGAAAGGAGAAACTACAGAGAAGAGCGCAGAGGAAGAAAATTTGTACTCGTTTTTGAGAATTCATCACGAAAGTGATGCTTATACCTAGAATTCAATTATACATTATTTGTCAATATAAATAGGAGAATAATAAAGTCAAGGTGGAAAGTAAAAATAATGATGTATGGGATTTTATATGCAACGAAGACCAACAGCCAAAAGCAAAGAGAGTCAATGAGGAAACTTCCCCACTAAATTAATACTAAGGGGTGATCCTAAAAATGGCCCCTTAACTAAGTCATTTGTTTTGGTTGAGCCCCTTACTAAATATTAGTGTAGGGTTTTTTTAAGTCCAAATGGATTAAAAATGTAATAAATAGATAATTTTATCATTAATTTAATTAAAAAAAATTTATTTTTAATTTATTTAATTGTATAATTAAATTCATTCATGTAGTAGTGATAATATATTTAATGTTAGTTTTTTGGATTTTTCTCTATAAATTTTTTATGAAAAGGTGTTTTTAATCTGTGCTAGAAAAGCACAGCTTAAAAAAACCTAATATTACATATCACTTTCATTATAATTATCAAAATGTTAAAAGACAAAATACATGTATTATGATTTTAAGTATATACGATATAATGTGATATTAAATAAATAGATACATATTAATTTATGTATAATTTTTAAATAAAAAAAATCAACTATAGGAAAACATGTTGAGTACAACACATATAACATGTTGAAAGCATTTTTGAGAAATAGTTAATAAATACTTATTAGTTTTTGAGAAAAAGTAAATATTATAACGTCTTAGCACTTTAAATATTATGATTTTTGTAAAAAATTTTAAATATTTTTAACAAATATTTTTAATGTGTTAATTCATTAAAGGTATTTTAATTTTTTTATTATAATTTTTTAGATTTTTATTATCAAAAAGTCTTGATTTTTCTCAATTATTTGAGACAAAAATTAATAAAAGGGTTTGATTGGAATAAATGGTTTCGTTAGGGACCAATCTTAAGATAAATTTGGCAGGATATTCAGAGGAAGGTATTGACTGGAACCGGTGGTTCTATCTTCTAGTCTTCTAGACGGTTGAGGCGCTAAAGACAAATATAAAAACCGTGTACAACCCGTGAATTTAGGGTCTTTCTTTTAAATAAATTTTTTATTTTATAATTTAAATTAAGTTAAATTATATAACATTTTTTTTATTTTAGATACTTCAACTAATATTTGAAAATGTTTTTAAAATAGTAATAATGGTTAGAACTAAATTTTAATATCAAAATTTAGGAAAATTTTATAGTGTTCATTAACTATGATATGGGTTTCTTATGAATCCATATAAGTAAGGATTGAAATAATTTTATCCCAAAATTTCTCTTAAAATTTTATCTCAATAATTGTTTAATAATAACAGAAAAGTATGCTTAATATTCCTAAATATCTCCAAACTTTGTAAAAAGGATTATTATCATCCCTTTACTAAAAAAATTCAGAATAATCCCTCAACTTTTAATAAAAGACCGAGCGTAGTCCCTATATTGACGGACGTCATCACTCCGTCTATCTTTCCATTAAAATCTTTGTTTAGTTCCATAGAACTCTTAAGTAACACTGATGTGGCACCAAAAGTGGCTCTAACTGCAGAAAAACAAAAATTCTTCTAATTATATACAAAATAAAAATTATGTAGTGGTATCCTTTCTTTAAAAATTAATTTTTTTAATAATTTTTTAATTTTAATTATTTTGTTCGTTCCATTCAATTATAGTTTTTTTATTTTGTAATAAAATAAAAATATAATTATTAATTATTAAAATTTTAATTTTTATCTCTAATTAATTACTATCTAAATAGGTTTGTTTATTGAAATATGTGTTATAATTATCTTTTAAATTAAATGTAACATATGAATAAATTTATTAAATGACATTTTAAAATGGAAAGGTGAAAAACTAATTTTAAACGTTTTACATTAAAAATAATAGAATAACTAAAATTGAATAGATAGAGTAATTTATTAGGAGTTAATTAAAGTTATATAACCTTTGTTAATTAGCTTGATGGATTAAAATTTATGATTAAATAAATTTAAGTAGTTCCTAAAATCTCATTTATAATTTTACCCTTTAATCCTTATTGTGTATAAAGGTGAAAAATGTATTTCCAATATTACATAAGATGTGTTATAATATCATGTTAGCATTGCTAGTGCCATGTCACACTCTCATTAACAAACGTTAATGGGGGGACCACAGTTGGTCTTTTCACCAAAATTAAGGGATAATTATGAATTTTTCGAGTAGAGGAATGACAATGACTACTTTCATCTGGTTCCAAGATTTTTGGTGTCATTAAGCTTATAAGAATATCTCAAATATAAATAATTATTTATGAAAAGATATTTTTTAAAATTAGAGAAGTTAGTTGTTTGGTCTTGTTAGAATTTAAAATTTTTAATCTTGGCCTTAAATTAAAAATTTTAAATTAGTAAATATTAATTTGACAAATTTTTTTTGATAAAAAATAAGATATATAGTATTTCATTAATATAACTATGAATAGCTGTTAGCTCGATAATAACTATACACTACAATTTTGTTTGGTTTAATGGTTAGAAAATAGTTGATAATTAATTGCTAATATCAATGATTAATTGTTATTATTATTTATAGTTTAAATACTCTTATATGTTTAATTAGAAAAAATAAGTAAATAATTGTCAAACTTTTAATCAAATTAGATGAGATGAATTAAAAGATGAAAAAAAATCACCTCCAATAATTGTGCATCGAAGAGTCAGATTATAAAATTGATTTTATCAAAGTGGAAGAAAATAAAGAACCTAAAACAGGTAGATTGATTAACTGTATTTTCACCTCCAAATCATTCCATAAATTGAATAATAATAATAATAATAATAAAACCTTCTAATTATTTTCGTGGAGATTTTTTCTTATTTTGAGTAAAGGCAAATAAATCTCAAATCTTTCTAAATATCCTCCAATGCTTGTTTATTCTAGACCAAGAGAAAAACTACAACAGAATTTCAGATAGTACCAAGTGGACCACCAGACCCTCATGATCAGTAGGAGGAATGAATCATAAATAATTTCAAACATGATTTGGATGAATCAAAAATCATTGTCAACCGTATTTTTATAGTTCTATTTACATACCATGGTTCTATACTTGTTTACATTTATATATATAAATATATATATTTCATTAACTCGTTAGACAAATTAGATAAGAATGAGGTCTAGCACTTCGAGGCTTATTGATCTCTTTTTACATAACATGTTTAGGATTACCAAGACCTGAGTTTTTTATCTAGATCTCTTTTTTCTTTTTTTGGACAAAATTTTTCATTGTTCAAAAAAAAAAAAATTAGATAAGAATGAGAATTGCCTCACCATTATTCATCTGTATATCAAAATCCTTTTTTTTTTTTAAAGGAAATGTACATCAAAATCTATACATGTGATGATGAGATACTTCTTACAACACAAACAACTTTAATGGAAAAGACGTCTCTCCTTTTTTCTTTTTTCTTTTTTTGTCTTTTGGATATAGTGGAAAAGTTGTCGAGTAATTAATCAAGATTTTTCTAACTTAATCCCTTAAAACAAATAATACTGTAAGGGTAGATCCGAGGTGCCCAATCTCGGACGTACGACAGTAATTTTTTTATGACAGAAGTGAAGGATAAATTCAAAACTTCCCACTCAAATAGCTACATGACAACGACAATAAGCATGCACGCACCTGATTCCTTGTGATGAGCTGCACAAGAATTATGATGGATATCCTTGCATCTGAATATCTCTCAAATTCTCGGTCTCGGAATAATCGTCTGGATAGACACGTCAGGCTCCGATTATCTTGTTTGGCATGCCATGTGGGTTCCTCATTGGATCCTATAAATACCCCCCATGGGCCATGTCAAAAAGGTAATTGAAACCAACCCTAAGGTCCTTTTATCTCCGCTCTAAAGGTAGCCCCGATTATTGCTGACTTAAGCATCGGAGTGTCTACTCCGAGGACCCACCTCGAGGCTTTGCAGGTTAATCTGGAGTGCAGATGCGGACTAAAGAAGGACTTCCGGTTTGGTGCAATTACATTGGCGCCATCTGTGGGAATCCAAACTGAAATCTCTTTTGTTGCTCTGTCATAATGGTTAACACTCAATCAGTCCGAGTTGGAAACTCATCTCAGCCTCTTGGACGAGGTCAACCCCCCAACAGCCTTCCACCTCAACTCCCACCTCCGATCCCGAATACATTCCCTCACGTTGATCATGCAGAATGAGGAGATGAAAATCAACCACACAATTCCGTTCATAACTCCGCTTTTACTGCCAATCAAGATGTAGTTGCAGCTCAGCTTGCTACCATGCAACAACAATTCGGTGTTTTTCAGCTAGTACTGACTCAGCTCTTAGCCCGGAACAACCCTGGTGACCCCCTTATCCATTTACTTAACCTTGCTCCACAACCCCCAACTCCATAGCAAAACCCCGAACTAGTTCAGCATGCACCTACTCTTAGTGAATCTCAGGGTCAATCTCATGTAGCACCAGCTCAGCAACCCCTTCATGATGATGTTACTCGACGTTTAGACAGCTTAGAAAAGCTAGTGGCTGAATAGCGAGGTGTCCCACCTCCACACCACACTACTAACTCCATACCTCACCCTCTGAACACTAACATCACACTGGAACCCTACCCTGCTGGCTTCAGGATTCCACAACTTGAGACTTATGATGGGACGAAAGATCCCGATGATCATCTGCATGCTTTATACTGTTGCATGCAAGCTCAGAACGCCTCTGACGCGTTGATGTGCAAATTCTTCCCCTCTACTCTCCGAGGTAATGCTCAAACTTGGTATTATAGTCTACCTCCGAGGTCAATCAGCTCTTATACAGAAATGGCATCTGCTTTTGCCACTAAGTTTTCCAATAGAAGGTTGATTAAGAAAACTACTTCTAAGTTGATGCGAGTTAAATAGAGGGACGGAGAATCTCTGAAGAACTACATGAGCAGATTCAATGATGCAGTATTGGAGGTTAGTTCCTTTGACCAGGCTGTGGGGATTGCAGCTGTGATTTCAAGTCTTAAACATGATAGGTTCAGAGACAGTTTGATCAAACATACTGCCACCACCTTTAGCGAAGTAAATGATAGGTCTCTGAAATTTATAACTGCAGAGGAATATGCCCTGATGCAGAACCCAACTCCCAATAAGAACCAAAGCCTAGACTGGAGAGATGAGAATCCGAGCAAGAAAAGGATGAGAATGGCACAGAACCGAGGTCCGATGCCGACCTCCACACTAAGATTCGGAAGGCCAAACTCAGCACCTCCGCAACAATCTGCAGGTAAACCTCCAGTTAATTGGACTCCTTTTAATTTGCTGAGGTCACAGATTTTCATGCAGATTAAGAACAAGATGGATTTAAGGCGTCCTGACCCAATGAGAACTACTGTTGTTAGCCGAGATCATAATATATATTGTGATTTTCATCAAGATCATGGTCATACCACAGAGCAATGCAACAGCTTAAAGTCTGAACTGGAAAGTCTAGCTTAAAAGGGAATGTTGAATGAGTACATTCAGAGAGCCAAACAGCCGAGGTTTGTCAGAGAACAGAGGACACAGCCCCAAGGAGTCTGCAACCCACCAAACAGGTAAGGTGTGGGATATCAGTAAGCCCCACCTCTGCTTCCACCACCAGCTAGAATCATACACATGATTACGGGAGGCCTGAAAGTAGGTGGACTGAACTCTAAACAGTGGAAGTTGTATGTCAGAGAGGTCAAGCATCAAAACCGAGCTCAAAAACGAAAGTTTGACGACAATGACTGGAAGAATCAACCCATTACTTTCACATCTGCTGATTTCGACACAGTTGTTACACCCCACAATGACCATTTGGCCACTTCTGTCATAATTAACAACTGTGAAGTACAACATGTCCTTGTTGACACTGAGAGTGCACTAGACATCATGTACTTCCATTGTTTTGAGAGTCTTGGTTTGGATCCAGCATTGTTGCAGAAATATGATGGTCCCATATATGGTTTCAACAACTAGCCAGTTCAGGTCGAAGGAGTTCTTACCCTCCATGTTGCTTTTGGGAGTGACCAAACCTATGTGACCCCTTCAGTCCGGTTTCTAGTGGTCAAGATGGCGTCCTCTTTCAACGTTGTTATTGGTCAACCTACACTGACTGAAATCCGAGCTATGGTTTCCCAATCTCACCTCTGCATGAAGTTCTAAACTCCTATGGGAATAGCAACACTGCGAGGTAACCAGGAGGTGGCTAGACATTGCTATATCACCTCGGTAACACAGCCTAAGAAGGGCAAAGATTAAACACCCGAGGCCATCCCTCAACGAATTCCTGATAATCAGCAAGTTATGGGTGTTGAGATAGTAGATAATCGACCGGTAGATGAAACCAGAGCTACTCCAGTTGAAGATGTCGAAGAAGTGCTCATTGATGATAGAGATTCAAGCTGAAAGACGCAATTTGGAACTAGATTGAACCCGGAGGAAAGATTAGAGCTAATAGCTTTTCTCCGAGTTAACAATGATGTATTTGTGTGGACTTCGGCAGACATGCCTGGCATTCCAACTTCAGTATCTCAGCATAAGCTTAGCACTAATCCATTGAAGAAACCAATAGCCTAGAAGCGACCTCTCTTCGGGAGGGAGAGGCTTCAGGTCATAAAGGAAGAGATAGAGAAGCTTCTACAAGTTGGTTTCGTCAGAAAAGTTGATTATTGCGAATGGCTGGCTAATCCAGTCCTGGTGAAGAAGGCAAATGGTAAATGGCGAATGTGCATCGATTACACAAATCTTAACCAAGCCTGCCCCAAGGATTGCTATCCGATGCCAAGCATTGACAAATTGGTTGAAGTAACTTTAGGCAATGAGAGATTAAGTCTCTTGGATGCATATTCTGGGTATCACCAGGTGCCGATGGCTCCAGAAGACGAAGAGAAAACCTCATTCTATGCTGGTGACGAAGTTTATTGCTATGTCATGATGCCGTTTGGCTTAAAGAACGCATGTGCTACTTATCAGAAAATGGTGACCATCGTCTTCCGAGCTCAGATCGGCAGAAATCTGGAAGTTTATGTTGACGACATTGTGGTAAAGAGCTTAAAAGCAGAAGATCACCTAGCTGATCTCGACGAAACTTTCAACAACCTCAGAAAGAACAGGATGCGGTTAAACCCAGCCAAATGCATCTTCGGTGTGGAGTCTGGGAAGTTCCTAGGTTTCATGGTGTCCCGAAGAGGGATTGAGGTCAATCCAGAGCAAATCAGAGCAATTGCCGAGATGGAACCGCCGAAATCAGTGAAAGATATACAGAGGTTGACTAGAAGGGTAGCAGCTCTTCATCGGTTTATATCGAAGTCAGTAGATAAATGCCTGCCATTTTTCAAGATTATGAGATCAG